CTTTCATTGTTTGGTTTTTAGAAAAGCTTATATGAATTTTCAGAGAGGTTAAATGTGACATCAAGAAAGTTCAGAATTTTTAAATTTATGTTTATTTCGATTCGAAAGCCAATGTTTTTTAAAATTTTTATAATATCTTTTCGAATCTTATTGAGCTGTGGACCAGATTTTTTACGCATTACAATTAAACCATCGTCGCGATAATTTTTAAAAAAAGCATAAGTAATCATTTCTAAAGAATTCTTTTTATAATAGTGGCAGCAAATTCCACAAATGTGTGAAAATTTACAGTAGTTAAAACATTTGCGACTTCCTGTAATTTAATTTTTTGGTATAAATTGAAGTTTTATTAATTTAATCATTCATTTCTGATGAGTCTTTATTGATGAATCACAGTGTTAAATAAAAAAAAAATTTTTGTTAAGTGATTTTCTACTAATTAATAATTGTTCTGTTCTTTTAAGAACATTGAGCACTCTATTTTGTAAAATACATTTTTAAAATTGTTTAAACATAATCACAAATTTTTGATGTAATATATTATATATTATACATGTAATGTATTATATATTACATATGTAGTATGTTATATAATATTTTAACATTATATATATATATATATATATATATATATATATATATATATATATATATATATATATATATATATATATATATATATATATATATATATATATATATATATATATATATATATATATATTTATATATATATATATATATATATATATATATATATATATATATATATATATATATATATATATATATATATATATATATATATATATATTAATAATAATAATAATAACAATAATAATATACATTATGTTTAGGCGGATTTCCACTTACAGGAAATTTTCCGCAAAACGGAAAAAAAAAAAAAAATCATCCAATCATGTAACATAAAAATTTCGCATCTAAAAATTTTTTGTAAGTAGACATCCGCCTTTTGTATTTATACAAATTGAAAATCTTTTCTACAAATAATTTAATCTTTTTAATAATTTAAAAACGCGGTTTCCGAGGTCGAAAACCCGTGTTTCCACTACTAAACGCGGTATTTTGAAGTAAAAACAAGTCATAAAGAACGTTGTGAATATATAAAGATTGTCCAAATTTTGGAAACAAAAAAACTTTGCCATCATAAACTCTTAATTCTCTATAAACTTCTCTAAAAATTACATCAAAGTACCTGTTTTTTAATTTCGGATTTATAAAGTTCATAAATGTGTTTCCATAATAAAATATAGCGGTTAAAAATAATAAATTAATGCATGAAACAGCAATAATAATAAATAAATTTTGACCAAAAAGTTTCACGAAAACTAAATTAAAAAATTCTTAAAACAAATCAATCAAATTCTTTAAAACTGCCAAGGAAATTAAATAAATATACAGAATGCTCAATACCGTTTAGAAGTCCGAAGTTATGGAATTTTTTTCAAAAAGATATTGCAAACTTGATAAACTCATTTAAGTTTCGAGTAAAAAAACACAGTTTTAATCTTGCAAAATAAAAACTCAAAAAATTGGTTAATTTATTCAACTAAATTTTACTTCTTTGTAATTACTTTAAATCTATCTAGTTACAAATAATATATTTATCTTTTAAAGTATAAATTATTAAATCTTTGTGTATATTTACAATATATTAATAAACTCTTTGATTATTTAAATTGCAAAATATTTATTGCGACATATATATTGTTTCAATTGTTAAAATTGTTTGCTTTATTATTATCTTAATAATTTGTTTTAATAGCTATATATTTTAGTGGTTTCTTATAACTATATAAAGGGCTTTATGAAAAGCTTGTGGTGGTATTGCACCACTTATATATCCTTCATGTCTCGATCTATTTTTATTTAAAAATTCAATTTAATGAAATGTGCTACAAAGAACTCATTTGTAAATTCATCTAGTACATAAACAGCAGAATACATTTTCTATTTCTTTTTGGGGTTCATACCCAGGCCCGGGCTCTAAGCGTATTCGAAGTGTGCAATGCACACAAGCGCCGCAGGCGCTGAAAATTAAAAGGCACCTACAAGGTTATATGAAATATAAATTTTGTACAATACGAAATTATATTTTTTTAGTTTTTAATTTTTGTAAAGTAATTTTTTCTTTTTTTTATAAATGAAAAAAAAAATTTTTTATTACCAAACGAATGTTATTTTTTCAAAATTTAGATTTTTATTTAGTTATTTTCTATTTTTTCAAAAGTAAGAATTGTATTATCAGCGCCACATAAAAATGTTGTCAGTTAATTTTCATTTTCACACTTTGAAAAGGAATTTAAATTTTATAAGTAAGTGAATTATAAACTCACTGTAAGTGAGTTTGAATTATAATACTGAAAAATTAAATATTAAAAATTTTTTCTGGTACATGGATCGGAAACGGAAATTGTCTGGTTAGCAAAACAAACAAAATAGGGAAAATAGGCTGAAAGAGCAATTTGAAAATCAAAAAATGTTGAAAAGTTTTCTGCAAGTTAGGCAAAATGAAGACATTTCTGATAAGATAGTTGAAGAAATTGATACACATGAGCGTGAGTATGATGAATATAATGTAACTGGTGAGAAGTCTTTATCTGAAATTGACGAAACTAACGTTAATGTTAAGTTAAATGCTAGCACTAGTACAGCTAATCAAGATGAATGTTTAAGTGATGAGGTAGAAAAAAGTTCTGAGAATATATCTAGCTGTAATGATTTTTGTGATATAACGTATTGGCCGGAACATTGGCAGAATTTGCAAATTCAAAATATAGTTTCCAAAGTTCCAAAACAAGCTAGTATTAACCAGTACCCAAAAGAAAGTTTGGGTAGATCATTTAACAAAATACATTTTCATCGAAAAACAGCAAATGGTGAATTATTTAAAAGAACCTGGCTTGTATATTCACCCAAAGTAGATCGGGTGTTCTGTTTTTGTTGTAAAATATTTAGTAGCGACAAATTTGCCTTAGCAAAAGGAGGAACAAATGATTGGGGCCACATAACGATAATTTTAAAAAGACATGAGCAAAGTACTGAGCATTTTCAATGCTATGGAAAGTGGATTGAGCTTAAAAAACGGCTTTCTTGTGGTCAAGCCGTTGATTGTCTAGCTAATAAATTATACTTGAGTGAAGTAGAACATTGGGATGAAGTGCTCAAGCGAATAATCTCAATTATTTTAATGATGGCCTCAAAAAATATTGCATTTAGAGGATTTTCAGGCAGAATATTCACCAAAAATAATAATAAATTTTTAAAAATTGTTGAGTTGTTTTCAAAGTTTGATCCTGTGTTAGAGAAACATTAAAATTGGTGTTAGAGAGCAGTAGAAAATCCAAAAAAGCCTCATTACTTGGGAAAAAATATCCAGCATAAAATTATTTTATTGATCACTAAAGCTACAAAGGATAATATTTTGGAAATGGTAAAAAATGCAATGTTTTTTTCCGTTATTGTAGACTGTACACCTGATGCCAGCTATAAAGAACAAATGTCAATTGTTCTGCTTTACGTCCACATAACAAAATCAACCGAAGGTAATAATGCTAGCGTGGAAGTTAAAGAAAGTATTTTGGAATTTATTAACATTTTGGATTCAACCGGAGTGAAGATGACCGAAGAAATATTAACTTTTTTGACACAAAATGGGTTATCAATTATGAATCATCGTGGTCAAGGCTACGATAATGGAGCCAATATGCGTGGAAAAATAAACGGTGTTCAGGCTCATATTACAAACATAAATCCAAGGGCTTTCTTCATTGCATGTGTCTGCCACTCCTTAATTTAGTCGTTGTTGATGCAGTGCAAGGAGCTATTGAAATTATTAATTTTTTTTCAACCATCCTAGCAATTTACAATTTTCTCTCAAGATCGCCAAAGCGTTGGGATATATTCGTATCCATGTGTTGTAAATTGACAGTAAAATCATTAAGTGATACACGATGGGAAAGCCATGTTAATGCCGTTAGTGCTTTGAAAAGCAGATTGAAAGGCATTTATTCAGCGTTAAAAGAAGTCGCTCAATTAGAAAAAGATGCACTTACACGCATAAAAGCTAAATCAATCGCATCAAAAGTAGACAGTTTTGAATTTATTTGTGGTCTAATAATCTGGGAAGATGTTCTATCAGAAATAAATTGTACGAGCAAATTATTACAATCGCAGAGCATGGATGTGAGATCAGCAGGTAGTGTGTTAAAAAAAACAACTGAATTTTTGATTTCTTGTAATTCCGAAGTTTCTTTCGCTAAATATATTTCAGAAGCTAAAGTATGCACTATAGATGCGGATTTAACTAATAATTTTAGGCCTGAGGTAGAAAATTGGGTCCGGAAAGGAACGCTTTTTTTTGGAGAGGAGCCAGAAGCACCCGAGTCCATTAATCCTAAAATAAAATCCAAAAAGAAATTTTTCAATGTATTATTTAAAAAAGCAATTTCTTCAATGAAAGAACTTTATGAATCATTTAAAAGTGTTATGCTACCTTTTGAACTTTTGTATGATATTAAAAAATGTGATGAAATGGAGAACAATGAACTCATAGATATATGTAAATTATTAGAAACAACATTAACTTATAAAGAAAGCAAAGACCTTGACGCAAACGAATTACAAATTGAGCTGAAGTTGTTGTCTCAAAAAATTGAAGATGATACTAACGCAGAAAACATTTTGAAATGGATTTATAATAACAACGAAGAACTCTTTCCAAATGCACTGATTGCATTAAGAGTGCTATTAACTTTGCCCATTTCTGTTGCTAAAGGTGAAAGAACTTTTTCTAAATTAAAAATGATTAAAAATTAGTAGCAATCAACTATGGAGCAAGAAAAATTGAATGGTTTGGCAATAATCTCCATAGAATCGGACATTGCCAAATCTATTAACCTAGATCTGTTGCGTAAAGATTTTTCTAAAATCAAAGCCAGGCGAATCCCTTAGTAGTAAAGTTTAATATTTTATGCAATATTTTTTATGTTTTATTTAAACATATTTTTTTGTCATGTTTTTCTAATTAATTTTATTTTCGTTTTTCTCCTGTTATTACTTGGGTTATTTAAGTTTTGTTAATTTTTTTTGATTAATAAAGAAAAAAGGTTTTAATCACAATTCTTGTTGTTTAATTTTTTTTGTCATAAATGAATTAAATTTGCCTTAAAATTATAATCAAAATTTTATAGTTTATAAACTATAAACCTATTTTAAAATAATTTGACAGTTACAAATTATAAAACATAAAAAAAATTGATAATGTAATACTTTGAAAAGATAATAGTATAAAACCATAGAAAATAGTTGCCGGGTTTTGCTTATAATATGGCTTTTTAGTACCTTATTGAAAAAAATTCAAAGGCGCCAAACATTTTTTACACACACACACAAAAAAAAAAACACGAGCCGGGCCTGTTCATACCTATATAACAAAATAATTTCCGGAAATATAAAAATTAAAGTATTGGTTAATTCTGCCACCTTGAAAAAAAAAATTAAGCAACTCGTTCTTAATAACAATTTTTTCGTAGTAAACTTAATAACAAGATACCAAATTTTTTATGTATATCACTGACCGTATATTGTTGAACCACTTATGACTATAAATAATTTAAATTTGGTTTTATTTAATCATTTAAAAAGGGTACTCGATGATACGTCTTCATGGTCTTCAACGAGTTTCCTTTGCAATAACATGTTTATATTTGAAGAAACATAATTGTTTTTTATTTTTAAAGAAACGCTGTTAGTTTTAATCATAGAAAAACATTGTTAATTACGTTATTTTATACTTTTTTCAACTTGTAAACGTTATATTACGTTATGTTATGTTGTATATTTCATATATTGCACTTTATTAGATTATAGATTTCATTAGATCATAAGTTTTATTAGATTATAGATCTTTTTTGATTTAATTAGATCATTTTATTCATGGAATTATTTTATTTTATTCATGGAATTATTTCATTTTATTTATGGAATTATTTCATTTTATTCATGGAATTATTTCATTTTATTCATGGAATTATTTCATTTTATTCATGGAATTATTTCATTTTATTCATGGAATTATTTCATTTTATTCATGGAATTATTTCATTTTATTCATGGAATCGTGGAACTATATATTGCAGGAAGATCATGAAATCATATATTGCTTTTTATTAGCTAATGGAATTGTAACGTCATAAACTGAAAATATAAAAATAATCTTGTAAAAAAAAAGTATATATACTAATAAAAAAAAATGGAAAAAAAATTGCAAGCTATTCGAGTAGTTGAAAGAAGGGAAGAAAAAAAATCTTTATAAAAAAGTTATTAAAAATCTTTTTTGAAAGATTCACGATTTTTATGATGCAACTTCCTTATTTAAGCAAAATAATATCACGTCACGTTTAATTTGTTTTATTGTTATAAATATTAGGAATTATAGAAAAATCGACTTTTTAGAACTAGTTGAGTCTTAATAATAGACTAGAATATAACCGAAGAATTTACTTTAAAGAAAATCTCATCAAAGAATATCTGAAAAAAACATTTGGTTGTAAAAGAAACAAAATAATATTTGGTTATATTTATCTTAAATTATCTTTATACTTATATAGCAGTAAATCTAAAATGATGTTTGACCTTTTTTGTTTTCATTATACGGGTAGTATTGTTTAATTTATTTAAATAACTTGTTGCCATGACATGAATGGTTTTATCAGCTTAGCAATTTTTTAATTCTGTTTTGTGAGGGCTTGTCTATAAAATTAACGTATGAACGATGACTATGAACAAGGCTAAAGTACAAGATTTTTTTTTTTTTATAATATTAACTTTATATAACATTTTATGAAAAGTCTTGTGGTGTATAATACATCTACTGCTGACACTGTGAACCAAAGAGACCGCCAGGTTTTGTGCCATCTCAATCAATCGAGACCTTTTTTGTTTAAGAGTACTTATCTTTTAACAATAGTTATAACAAAAGTGCATTTTAAAATCCAAACAAAATGCTAAGAATCTTAAACGGGGTAAAGGGTAAAATTAAGAATGCCTAAGCTCTTTTAAGCATTTTAGATGGACATTACAATATAATAGACATTACAATGGAAAAAAAAAGTTTTTATTTAGTTGCAGCTGATTATTTTTAGAAAAAAAACTATTTTGCTAAATCTTTATTAAATAACGCAGACTTCTATAATAGGTATTAATGAAGAAAAAAATGGAAAAATTCGCGAAGAAACATACTATGATGCCTGTTTCTAATTAATTCATTGGTCTCACCAGAGGGCGTGGAAGTTTATTCATTGATCTCACCAGAGGGCGTGGAAGTTTATTCATTAGTCTCACCAGAGGGCGTGGTATAGCAAATCTTAATGATAAGGTACAAGTCTAAGATGGTTGAACAATGCAAATAATAAAAAAACCAAATAAAAATGAATGAAAAACAATGCAAAAATATAAATGTAACTAAAGCAAGTCAAATAATATTAATGAAATTCTCAAAGTTACTAAAACATTTAAACAAGAAAATAAGTTAACAACACTAGTGGTGGCAGAGGAAGACCTTGTGGTAGAAGAGAACAGTTTAGTGCTCCAATTTTTAACCTTTTAAATAATTAAATAGGAAACAACATTAGTATGCTTTGCAAAGTTAGACTAATCTTATCCCAAGATAGTTTAAAGCATCTTTTCTTTGATTTCATGCAAACCTATCATACGAATGTTAATATAGCATGTGAAAGTACCCATACATCCAACCTAGAAAAGTCTTTAATAATGATAAATTCACTTATGTTTTACAATAACTAAAACCACTTAATGCACTAAGCTTTTATGAAATGAACATCTTAATCAGTATATTTTGTTCATGCTAAAATAGTAAACTTTAGTTCCCATCACATTTTATAAAAGATTTTTTCAAGGGCCGCGATATGCACATCGTAAGACTTATAAAACTTATATTAACAACAAACTAATATCCAAAAACACTACAGTTACAAAATAAGATTAACCGAATTCTCTGAAAATATCATCGAAATTCGTTATAAACACAAACATTTTTAAAAAACTAAGAAAACTTAAAATTAACTTCAAAACAAAATAATACTTTTGATTCTATTTATATTTTGCAAATGTTTTTATTTATACTTCGTGTATGTCAATATTTTAGGTATAACAAGTCATGTATATATTTATGTATAACAGAAGTTTTTATATATTTATGAATAACAGAAGTTTTTATATATTTATGTATAACAGAAGTTTTTATATATTTATGTATAACAGAAGTTTTTATATACTTATGTATAGCAGAAGTTT